AAGGTTTTGACCTCAAAAGTCTCGATATTTTTAAAAATAGTCTTGGAATATCCAAATTTTGAAGATCATGTGATATTCATTTTCGAAATTTCTGAAATTTTAGACAAAGAATTGTGTAAAATTAATAACAGAAAATTTTGCACCCAATATGTTTCGAATTTCCGAGTAATTTACGAGGTAATTTATCCCCTAGGAAGCGTTTGAATATTTTCAATATTTTTATTTTCAATTTCAATATTGAATACCGATTTCAGCAATTAGCCCGAGGCGACTTTAATTAATAACACTTAATTAGTTGATCGAGTTCGGGTCAATTTCGATTAGGCTTCGAAGAACCATTCCGAAATACTTGCCATCCTATTATTAAACGCTCGACATTGAAGTTTCATTATAACTGGATTCAACCAATTCAAAAATTCGCCAGACTGGTAACTGAATCGGACAATTAGGATGTAATTAAAAACAGAAATGAAGTAATTAGCGGTACTAAGGCCGATTATTATTGATAGCGCGGAACAACGTGAGAATAGTGCGGATCATCGCGATTACCCAACGATAATTACAATTAATTTTATTGTCCAACGCTTCCTGTGACGTTCGCCGATTCATTTGTTTACGGGAAAGTCAGTTATCGGCAAAATGACGAAAGGGAGCCTGCGGTGGGATAATCACGGCGCCATGTATGAATAAATGGATTACTCATTATCCCCGATTTTTTTTTTGGTTTGTTTCTCTAATGCAATTACTTAACATAATAATAATTATTGTTATTTTTTCCGCTGATGTAAACTCGGCCGCGCTGAATTTCCGGATATTTGTTTATGCGCGCGTTGCAAAAAAAATTGAATTTCCTGTTATTGTAAGAAAGTTTTAATTGTTAATTACGTACCCCCTTGTACCACCCACCCCTCGTCTCTAATTACACTGCGTGATTATTGTGTGACGCAAGTTTCGCTGGTGGGTGTATACAGGGCGTTTTCAAATCGTGTTTGTATACAGGGTGATTATTAACTATTTTTCCCCCCGAAATCGGCGATCTATTTATAGTACGGTCTGATTGTCTTCGATCGCGACAGACTTTCAATTAACGGGCAATTTGGAAAGGCTTTCACAGCATGAAAAGGGGGTTTGATTTGTAACGAAATAAACGCGAACGGAACGGATCCCCTTTCGGTAACCTAGCAACGGCTTGATGAACTGAGTGCGACCTGTGACCTTTCACCTACATACTACAGATACCGCACTTATCCTCCTCCCTCGTCGTTAATTATTTATATTAGCAATTAAAATTAATTTGTGCGTTTTGTGTAAATTTGCGTCGAGGTTCGCCTACGCGCTAATTCAGCAAATCGCTTGCAGTAGAACCTGTTGCACCTAATTCGTGCAATGCAATTAATTATAATTGGTGGTTCATTCTGCGACTCACCCCGTCGTAATTATTCGGAAAAATCCACGCGAGAGCATTTCTCCATAAATATTACGTTCACATTTACATCGAGTACATAGTTTATGCAAAATCAGATAGCGTGCTTCGATTCAGAATGCTTCGCTTCTGTCGTAAAGTCCGTTATGATATATCGTTTTTGTTCTCTTTGTTGCATTGCTGATAAAACGAGATTTGCCGTTCAATAATTTTGCCTTCATTACTTGGGCAAGATGATGCTTCGTAGAATAAATACATTGGGTACACTAATTACGCACTTTAATACCATAATTTCGCCTAATTACATTTTCTTCGCCTAATTATAACACCAAACTAAAATGACCGGCTCTCTGAGGATTATTCCAATTCATTTACATTTGGTGTGACACTAATTACACCATTTAATCCTCTAATTTCGCGTAATTACGTTTTCAATCGTAACAAATTATCAATTAAAGATCAAAATATTCATTTATTATTATAATTATCTTTCAAATTAGTGTGGACCACCATACTGTCGTCGTACTAATTCAATAAACATAATGGAGCTGGGCACGCCTTTTTACACCAATTTTAATTACGTACTTAAACATGTTAATTATTAATTAATTAGCGAACGAGCGTTAATTACTATTTACGTGAAAGCTTGCAATTTTCAAATTGCGAAATTAGGATAACACTAAGCACAGCACAGCACAGAAGCACTGTTTACTGACGTCTAAACCTTTTGGGTGGAAAAGTAGCAGCGAAAACTCCTAGCCAGGAGGCACCTCCTATTTTTTAAGAGTGGATGAGAGGAAATCGCCAAGGCATCTTCCCCCCTCCCCTCCCCGGTAGTACGTTTTCCTGCAACACGTTTAGAAATTCGAGCATTACTATGAGGGTGTGTTCAGGGCCCTAAACGTTTTGGATGGAAACATAGCACCGGGTGGTCTGGGGGTTATGGAATACCCAATACCTCGCAGCCAAAAGTCCTGTCCAAGAAAGGCCTCTCATTCTTCAAGAGCGATGAGAGGCAAAATGGCACCCACGGATCTGGTAGGTACAGAATACTCTCCAGGAAAGGTCTTATATTTTGGAAAATGAGCCACTGAATTCCTGGGGTATTCCAGACCCCCCCCCCCCGGTACTACGTTTTCCATGCCCCTCAGCCAAACCTCCTAGCTAAGAAAGACCTCTTATTTTTTCTTAGAGGAAAAATAGCACCAACGCATCTCATGGGTACGGAATACCTCCCAGGCAAGGTTTTATATTTTTGAAAATGAGCCTTTGATTCATGTGAGGTATTCCATACCCTCCAGACCCCCCGGTACTACGTTTTCCATACTCCCCAGCCAAAACTCCTAGCCAAGAAAGACCTCTTATTTTTTCTGAGAGGAAAAATAGCACCAACGCATCTCATGGGTACGGAATACCTTCCAGGCAAGGTTTTGTATTTTTGAAAATGAGCAATCGAATTCCTGTGGGGTATTCCATACCCCTCAGACCCCCCGGCACTGCGTTTTTCATACTCCCCAGCCAAAACTCCTAGCCAAGAAATACCTCTTATTTTTTAAGGGAGGAAAAATAGCAGCAACGTATCTGATGGGTACGGAATACCTTCCAGGGAAGGTTTTATGTTTTTGAAAATGAGCAATCGAATTCCTGTGGGGTATTCCATACCCCTCAGACCCTCCGGCACTGCGTTTTTCATACTCCCCAGCCAAAACTCCTAGCCAAGAAAGACCTCTTATTTTTTAAGGGAGGAAAAATAGCAGCAACGTGTCTGATGGGTACGGAATACCTTCCAGGGAAGATTTTATATTGTTGAAAATGAGCAATCGAATTCCTGTGGGGTATTCCATACCCCTCAGACCCCCCGGCACTGCGTTTTTCATACTCCCCAGCCAAAACTCCTAGCCAAAAAAGACTTCTTATTTTTCAAGAGAGGAAAAATAGCACTTATGGGTACGGAATACCCTCCAGGGAAGGTTTTATAATGTTGAAAATGAGCCACCGAATTCCTGGGGTATTCCAACCCCCCAGACCCCTCGGTACTACGTTTTCCATACTCCCTCCTAGCCAAGAAAGACCTCTTATTTTCTACCCCTCAGCCAAAACTCCTAGCCAAAAAAGACCTCTTATTTTTCAAGAGAGGAAAAATAGACTTATGGGTACGGAATACCCTCCAGGGAAGGTTTTATATTTTTGAAAATGAGCAATCGAATTCCTGTGGGGTATTCCATACCCCCAGACCCCCGGTACTACGTTTTCCATACCCCTCAGCCAAACCTCCTAGCCAGGAAAGATCTCTTAAAAGGGAAAAATAGCACCAACGTATCTTATGGAATATCCTCTAGGGAAGGTCTTATATTTTTGAAAATGGGCCATGGAATTCCGGGGGGGGGGGTATTCCATACTCCCCAGCCAAAACTCTTGGTCAAGAAAGAGCCCTTATTTTTCAAGCGAGGACGAGAGGGAAAAAAGCACCCAGGAATCTGGTGGCTACAGAATACTTTCCAGGATAGGTCTTATATTTTTGAAAATGGGCCATCGAATTCCTGAGGTGTATTCCATGCCTCCCAGACCCCCCGGAACTACGTTTTCCAACACGTTTAGAGATCTAAGGGTTGTAAGGTTCGTGGGGGTGTTGAGGGCTCTAAATGTTTTGAAGGGAAAGGTAGCACCGACGGGTCTGGGGGGTAGGAATTCGAAAAAATCCTCTCCAGGAAAGGTCCTAGTGCCCTGGTGGCAATCTATATGAACTAATCGATCGGCGATGGCTTCAAAAAATTGCAAGATGAATTATTCTCTCGACAGGAGCGCCAGAACCTGCCTGATGCTACTGTTGATCGAATAGTTTTTCTAGAATAAAAAATAAAAACGGATAATTTCGGAGAAAATAGAAAATGTATGACATAACAAAAACGGTTACATTCTGAGTTTAGATTTAAACGACAACGCCGTCTCAACACGAAATATCGCCATTTCCCCTCTTGCCCTCAATTTTGGAAAAAGTAGTTTTATATCCGCGATGTCCCTTGTGTCGAAATCTTTGTCGGTAACGGTAATTGACTGTTCCTTTTTGTTGTTTGCCAACTTTTCGCGAAATTTTACACTTTTAATGGTGTCATAAACGTAATCCGGGCAATAAAGTCGAAGCGGGAAGGATTTATTACGTTCCCAAAACTGCGTGCGAGCACGACATTGTTTCCTGACCGCGATCTATAAGTCATCTCCTTTTCTTACTACCAGATGGCGTTTGTCTTCTCATTCGCAAAAAAAACAGATTCTCTTTTGACGCATCCTGTACAACTTTCTTATCTTCGCCCCTGAGTCATTGCAGTCTGTCGCTTTTGATTTGGCAATGTTTGGCCACCTGGAGAAGTTTACATTCGTCATAAAACGGTAGCAATAATCTGCGATAAGAGTTGTTTATGGTTGGCTGGAGTTTATGATAGCGATATTATGAAAAAGTTCCATTCGTAACGGCCGCGACGGTTACACGTTTTAAGAGAGCGGAATTACCAAAAAAAAAGCAAATTGTGAGTAATCCACAGGTGATTTCATCGCGATAAGAGGTGTGTTTCTATTTCGGTTCGTAGTTTTCAAAATACGTATCAGCGTTGGGAGTCATATACAGGAAGACCCGACTTCCGGCACAATCTTAGCGGTTGCCTTTACTTAACAGTCTCAGTTCTGTTGAAATAGGCGTTGGTGGCGAGCGCGCGTGTGTTAAGAGACTAGGGGGTGACTTGTTTTTAACGAGGGTAATTAGCGGCGAGTGGTTAAAGTGCGTGCTTTGCGATCTGAAACACGCGTGCGGTTTTTACTTCATTCAGGAAATAATTATGAATGGAAAGTGCGATATCGAATTAGGTTTCCTGTTCGATTTTTCCTGAAACATGTGGCCTGCCAAGTGCCTGTAAAAGTTATAATCATCCGTAGAAGAAGCGCGTCTGTTTTCCCGTAAAGGTCTTTTAAAAGCTTTGTGCGACGCTACTCTGATGGGACAAGGATGTGAAACTTCCTGCCTTTTTGTGTGTGGAACGCAACTGCACCATCATGCGTAAAGTTTAGGATCGTAGTGCACATCATCGCCAATTCGCGCTCTTTGTCAACGTTAATATTTTTAGTAGTGAAACCGATGATGAAGAAGCACACCTTGCACAGTGCGCTCAATCGCGTCCAGCTCCCGGAGATACTCAGACGGTGTGCCCTCCCAGTGTTGGAGATCCGTCGCCGTTCATCCCTTTTAGCCTTAAATTTCAATTCCAATGTTATTTTACGCGTTACCAAAAAAAGTAAGCGGCAATCTTTGTCGTGGCCAAGCTCGATCGAGGTACCAGAGGTAGCACCCCCAAGCCACTTGCCATTCAGCGCAAAATGATCACATCTCTATTGGTTACAGGTGGACTATCCCGATATTGAGCACAATCAGAGACTGCAACAATCTCCAATCATGGACCATTCCCAGTTTCGCACCACGACCATGTTCGATGACGTGGTAAGTCGTAGCTTTCATTCGGGAGGCCTTCCTAATCGACCACTTTCAGTATGGACAGAGCCTAACGAGACCCAGCCTGTACCACAAGTGCAGCAGGGGCTCACACTCATCCGATACCAGTTCGGCCTACAGCGGTTCAGACACCATGGCTTCGAATCACTCGGAATTGGACGGGGACGAGCTCGATCTCACCGGTCTAGTCGAAAGCATCGTCGATAGCGACGAAGATGACGATCTGGCCGAAAGCATGGACGTAAGTCTTCGCCCTACTCGCCGCTCGTACATCTTAAACCTTTTGCAGAGTCTCACCGTTCGAGATAGAGTCCGAGATTGCCTAGAGAAGGACCCGTCCGAACGGACGGAGGACGATATCGAAGCTCTCTTGGAGTTCACTCAACACTTGAAGGCCTTTACAAACATGACGCTGGCTGTTCGCAAGGCGCTTTGCTCCGTTATGGTATGTGGCTTTGTTGTACTCATAACCGCACTGAATCAGTAGAGGAAATTCTGGTATTGAGTCATCCTCAATTTTAAAGGCATGACAATCGCCACCCCTGTTCCTAATGAAGCCTTGAATTTTTAATCGATTTTTAGTGATGGGAAGGTCAGAATGCATTTCCTTAATCTACCCGCTCCTAACCTCCGACAGTGACTATAAAAGAGTATTCACCTCAACCCCCAATGGAGCAACTTTGTCTTGAATTATCACCTTTTGAGCGCGGTTTTTAACATAAAAATCGATTTTGGGAAAGGCACGATTTACGCAAAAACCAATCAACTCCCTAATCTACACCTAACTCCTCCCCTCTAACCTCCGACAGCGGTAATTAAATTTCATCCACTCCAACCCCTAATGGAGCAACTGTGTCTTGAATTATCACTTTTGAGCGCGGTTTTTAACTTGAAAATCGATTTGGGGACAGGCACGATTTACGCAAAAATCAAATACAATTCCCTAATCTACACCTAACTCCTCCCCTCTAACCTCCGACAGCGGTAATTAAATTTCATCCACTCCAACCCCTAATGGAGCAACTGTGTCTTGAATTATCACTTTTGAGCGCGGTTTTTAACTTGAAAATTTTACGCCTAAATCTAATCTACACCTAACTCCTCCCCTCTAACCTCCGACAGCGGTAATTAAATTTCAGCCACTCCAACCCCTAATGGAGCAACTGTGTCTTAAATTATCACCTTTTGAGCGCGGTTTTTAACTTGAAAATCGATTTGGGGACAGGCACGATTTACGCAAAAATCAAATACAATTCCCTAATCTACACCTAACTCCTCCCCTCTAACCTCCGACAGCGGTAATTAAATTTCAGCCACTCCAACCCCTAATGGAGCAACTGTGTCTTAAATTATCACCTTTTGAGCGCGGTTTTTAACTTGAAAATCGATTTGGGGACAGGCACGATTTACGCAAAAATCAAATACAATTCCCTAATCTACACCTAACTCCTCCCCTCTAGCCTCCGACAGCGGTCATTAAATGTCCTCCAGTCTTAAATCCACGTGCTCTGTAGGTATTTGCAGTCGTTGAAAAAGCGGGAACGGTTGTAATGAACGACGGTGAAGAATTAGATTCGTGGTCGGTTCTCGTCAACGGCTGTGTCGATGTGCTAATCTCAAACCAAGAAACTCAAACCCTCATGGTGGGAGACGCCTTCGGTATACTGCCCACCATGGACAAGCTCTATCACAAAGGGATCATGCGGACCAAATGTGACGACTGCCAATTCGTGTGTATAACCCAAAGCGATTACTACAGGTGAATTTCGCCGGAATTCGACCCAAAATTTTACCCCCCTTCCCCATTTTTAGAATACAACACCAAGGCGAAGAAAACACGAGGCGGCACGAGGTTGATGGCCAGCTGGTTATGGTGACGGAACTTCGCGGCTCGATGGAATCTCAAAACAGCAATAGGCGGGGCCACGTCGTAATCCGCGGCACCGCCGAACGTCTCATGTGCCAACTGATCGAGGAAAACTCGCTAACCGACCCCACCTACGTCGAGGACTTCCTCTTAACGCACCGCACCTTCATACCCGGACCGCTGCACGTCGCCAACCAACTGCTGGAGTGGTTCAAAGATCCCGACGTCAGAGATCGCGTGACTCGCGTCGTTTTACTTTGGGTGAACAATCACTTCACCGACTTTGAGACTGATACCGATATGATCGAATTTCTGGAGACGTTCGAGAAGGGCTTGGAGAACGAGAAGATGATCGGGCAGCTGCGACTGTTGAACATAGCGTGCGCGGCGAAGGCGCGAATGCGAAACGTCGTCCTCGCGAGGCCGAGTCGCGACGAACCGCTCAGCTTTCAAATCCTCGGCGGTTACGAGCGGCACTTCGGGATTTTCATATCGAAAGTCGACAAGAAGTCGAAGGCGGAGGACGTCGGCCTGAAACGTGGCGATCAAATTTTGGAAGTGAACGGGCAGAGTTTCGAACATGTGAGTCATGTTCGCGCCTTGGAGATTCTGCGCGGTACCACCCATCTGAGCATCACCGTGAAATCGAACCTTCTGCACTTCAAGGAGATGCTAAATACGCCCGATAATTCACCGAGACCGCGCGGACGGAAAACTTCCGAGATATCGAGGCTGCAGCCGGATCCGCGCGCGAGGTTGTCGAGCATCGACGGAAATTTAATTTTAAGCACCGAATCTCCCTGTTCCCAGCCGGTTAGCATAAACAGTCCTCAGAAGGACGCCAAAAGCGGCAAAAGCTTTATGACGCTTGGACCCAAACGACGGTTACAAAAGGCGCTAATGAAAATGAACATTCTCCCGAAGAACGTTATCAAGTAAGTTGGACCTTCACCTGAACTTGGCCCCCCAACTTTAGAAAGCAATAATTTTCGTGATTGAAATCGATTGCGCTTCGTTTGCGCACAATTGCATTTTGTTTGCGCGCTGCCGGTTTCAAAATTACGAAGGAATCAAATTTGGGGGGGCCAACTTCACAACTGCCCCCCAAGTTTACAAATTTGACATTTTTTTTCTTCTGATCGTTTGCGCTTCGTTTCGCACAATTGCATTTTGTTTGCGCGCTGCCGGTTTCAAAATTACGAAGGAATCAAATTTGGGGGGCCAACTTCACAACTGCCCCCCCCCCCCAAGTTTTGCAAATTTGACATTTTGTTTCTTCTGATCGTTTGCGCTTCGTCTGTGCATGTTTGCGCACAATTGCCTTTTGTTTGCGCGCTGCCGGTTTCAAAATTACGATGGAATCAAATTCGGGGGGGGGGGGGGGCAACTTCACGACTGCCCCCCAAGTTTACAAATTTCACTTTTTTTCTTGTGATCGTTTGCGCTTCGTTTGCGGTCCCAATACCTTCGTTCGCGCCCCCGTCGTTTTTTAGTTATTCCAAATACAAAATTCCATACTGGCCTCCCATTTTTCAAATTTGATGAAATTTGTAAACCTGGGGGGCAGTCGTGAGGTTGGCCCCCCCCGAATTTGATTCCTTCGTAATTTTGAAACCGACAGCGCGCAAACAAAATGCAATTGTGCGCAAACGAAGCGCAAACGATCAAATGGAAAAAAAATGGCAAATTTGAAAAATGGGGGGCCAGTATGGAATTTTGTATTTGGAATAACTCAAAAACGACGGGGCGCAAACGAAGGTATTGGTAGCGCAAACATGCGCAAACGAAGCGCAAACGATCAGAAGAAAAAAAATGTCAAATTTGTAAACTTGGGGGGGCAGTTGTGAAGTTGGCCCCCCCCAAATTTGATTCCTTCGTAATTTTGAAACGGGCAGCGCGCATACAAAATGCAATCGATTTCAATCACGAAAATTATTGCTTTCTAAAGTTGGGGGGCCAAATTCACACAGGTTGGACCTTCCCCCTTTCGACTGCATTGACGCGATTTCCTTTTAGTGACGGCATAGACATTGACCATGTGGACAGCGTACCGCCCCCCTCATCGCTAGGCACGAACCTGTACCATTCCCAAAGCAACCCTGATTTAATGTCGATATGCTATGACGACGCGCGAAGTCACGACTTCCCCGAGCACGTCTTGAAAGTGTACCGGCCCGATCAGAGCTACAAGTACCTTTTAATTAATAAGGAAACGACCGCGCACGAGGTCGTCATGTTAGCTTTACAGGAATTCGGCATGACCGATCCTAGCAGTAATTTTAGTCTGTGCGAGGTGTCCGTTACCGATAACCAAACCATAAAACAGCGCCGTCTACCCGACCAGCTTCAGAATCTCGCCGAACGCATCGGGCTCAGCAGCAGATACTACCTGAAGACGAACGGCGTTACCGAAACGCTAGTACCTGACGAACTTGCCCCCGAGCTTGTTAGAGAGAGCGCCGTGCACTTCTTGCAATTGAACGCCGTCGAGGTTGCCATTCAGCTCACCCTGCAGGTACGACCGATCCAAAGGTCCGAAACGTATTTCACGCTTCTCTTCCAGGATTTTAGCATATTTAGGCAGATCGAACCGACCGAGTACATAGACGAGTTATTCGAGCTTCACTCGAAGTACGGTACGCCGATGCTGGAACAATTCGCGGCATTAGTCAATCGCGAAATGTTCTGGGTCGTCACGGAGGTCTGCAGCGAGCACAATCCCGTTCGGAGAATGAAGATTATCAAGCAGTTCGTCAAAGTTGCGCGTACGTACAATTTTAGGGAAAGCGATTCCGGGTGTGCACTTCGAAATTTTGCAGGTCAGTGCAAGGAATGCAAGAATTTCAACTCGATGTTCGCCATAATCAGTGGTTTGGGGCACGGCGCCGTATCGAGGCTGCGACAGAGCTGGGACAAACTGCCCGGCAAGTACCAGAGACTGTTCTCCGAACTTCAACAGCTCATGGATCCGTCGAGGAACATGAGCAAGTATCGGCAGCTAGTGAGCGCGGAGCAGAATCAACCCCCGATAGTAAGTCCATCCTGCATCCGCCGCGTTTTTACTAACGCCGACGTGTTACAGATACCGTTCTATCCGGTCGTCAAAAAAGATCTCACTTTCATTCATCTCGGCAACGACTCGAAGGTCGAGGGATTGGTTAACTTCGAGAAGCTGAGGATGATCGCGAAAGAGGTGCGCGGCCTTAGTAACATGTGCAGCAGTCCGTACGACCTTCTGACGATGCTCGAGCTCGGCGGACAGCCGGCGAGTAACGCGATGGTGGCGCTGAATCAGCTCACGACCGGCGGATCGCAGCACCACTTCCAGGGGCAGGCGACGGTTAAGCGGAGGAAAAAGTCGGCCGCCGCGCCGAATCCGAAGAAGATGTTCGAGGAGTCGCAAATGGTTCGGCGGGTCAAGGCCTACTTGAATAATCTGCACGTCGTTAACGACGAATCGCGCCTGCACGAGATGTCGCTGGAGTGCGAAAGTGCCGTTAATAATACGACAGGTAGTATAGTCGGTCCGCGCGGGAAACGGCATGCGTCGCCCGCTCCCTCGACGACGAGCAGCACGAGCAGTACGAGCGACGAACGTAAACCGACGGCCAAATTTGGTAAGTAGCGCCTTTTCGTTTTTTACATTCAAAAGTCTCATTCAAGTAGAAAACCAAACTTTCAGAAAGGTTTTAATGAAACAGCCGCCATATTGGTTCCAACGTTTACATGACAATGACACATGTAAATATACCTACTCATGGTATAGGGAAATCGGGAAGAGTAACTCTACTCCTGTAACTAGCGCAAGCGCAACTTACGTTTAAGTTTATAATCATTTTAGTTATGGGTTTTAGGTTTGAAACTTTGCTTATTATAAACTTTTAAAAAGATAAGTAATGCACATAATCACATTCTTCGTCTTCGTCCGTCCGAGGCCAGTTTTCAAGATTTAGTTCGTTTTGTTTGAATTTGGAAGGTTATAACTCTGGCACCTAAGCCAAGAAAAGTCTTGACGATTAATGTGCGCTTGCGCAGACTGTACAATATCAACTTTTTTATTCATTAACTAATTACACTCATACAAATAAAGTCTGGTAGGTATGGAATACCCCCCCTTCCAGACTCCCCAGCAAAAAGAAAATGCAATGGACCTTTCCCTACAATCATCATTCTTACACTCATATAAATGAAGCCTTAGTGTGCTGGGGGGTATTCCATACCCCCCAGACCCCCCGGTAGTACGTCCAATGGTGCTGTACCGAAAACTGTAATGAGAGTGGTCAGGCAGACGGTTTTGGACGAGAGTGTAAAAACGGGGGGGTCAGGGGGATATGGAATACTCCCCAGCAAAAAGAAAATTCAATGGCTCTCTCTCTGCAATCATCATTATCGCCGTAAGATCATTCTAACACTCATATAAATGAAGCCTTAGTGTGCTGGGGGGTATTCCATACCCCCCAGACCCCCCGGTAGTACGTCCACTGGCGCTGTACCGAAAATTGTAATGAGAGTGGTCAGGCAGACGGTTTTGGACGAGAGTGTAACAACGGGGGGTCAGGGGGATATGGAATACTCCCCAGCAAAATGAAAATTCAATGGCCCTCTCTGCATTCAACATTGCCACAGTGAGATCATTCTTACACTCATATAAATGAAGCCTTAATGTGCCGGGGGTATTCCATACCCCCCAGACCTCCCGGTAGTACGTCCAATGGCGCTGTACCAAGACTGTAATGAGACTGGTCAGGCCGACGGTCTTGGCGGAGAATGTAACACCGGGGGTCTGGGGGTATTCCTTGAGATCATTCTTACACTCATATAAATGAAGCCTTAGTGTGCTGGGGGGTGTTCCATACCCCCCAGACCTCCCGGTAGTACATCCAATGGCGCTGTACCGAAAACTGTAATGCGACTGGTCAGGCCGACAGTCTTGGCGGAGAATGTAACACCGGAGGTCTGGGGGTATTCCTTGGGATCATTCTTACACTCATATAAATGAAGCCTTAGTGTGCTGGGGGGTATTCCATACCCCCCAGACCCCCCGGTAGTACGTCCAATGGCGCTGTACCAAAACTGTAATAAGACTGGTCAGGCCGACAGTCTTGGCGGAGAATGTAACACCGGAGGTCTGGGGGTATTCCTTGGGATCATTCTTACACTCATATAAATGAAGCCTTAGTGTGCTGGGGGGTATTCCATACCCCCCAGACCCCCCGGTAGTACGTCCAATGGCGCTGTACCAAAACTGTAATAAGACTGGTCAGGCCGACGGTCTTGGCGGAGAATGTAACACCGGGGGGTCTGGGGGTATTCCTTGAGATCATTCTTACACTCATATAAATGAAGCCTTAGTGTGCTGGGGGTATTCCATACCCCCCAGGCCCCCCGGTATTACGTCCATTGGCGCTGTACGGAAAACTGTAATGAGAGTGGTCAGGCAGACGGTTTTGGACGAGAGTGTAAAAACGGGGGGGTCAGGGGGATATGGAATACTCCCCAGCAGAAAGAAAATTCAATGGCTCTCTCTCTGCAATCATCATTATCGCCGTAAGATCATTCTAACACTCATATAAATGAAGCCTTAGTGTGCTGGGGGGTATTCCATACCCCCCAGACCCCCCGGTAGTCGTCCACTGGCGCTGTACGGAAAATTGTAATGAGAGTGGTCCAGGCAGAGTTTTTGGGACGAGGTGTAACAACGGGGGTCAGGGGGATATGGAATACTCTCCAGGCAACAAGAAAATTCAATGGCCCTCCTCTCTGGCAATCATCATTATCGCCGTAAGATCATTCTAACCACTCATATAAATGAAGCCTTAGTGTGCTGGGGGTGTTCCATACCCCCAAGACTCCCGGTAGTACATCCAATGGCCTGTACCGAAAACTGTATGCGACTGGTCAGGCCGACAGTCTTGGCGGGAGAATGTAACACCGGAGTCTGGGGCCTTGGGATCTTCTTACACTCATATAAATGAAGCCTTAGTGTGCTGGGGGGTATTCCATACCCCCCAGACCCCCCGGTAGTACGTCCACTGGCGCTGTACCGAAAATTGTAATGAGAGTGGTCAGGCAGACGGTTTTGGACGAGAGTGTAACAACGGGGGGTCAGGGGGATATGGAATACTCTCCAGCAAAAAGAAAATTCAATGGCCCTCTCTCTGCAATCATCATTATCGGCGTAAGATCATTCTAACACTCATATGAATGAAGCCTTAGTGTGCTGGGGGGTGTTCCATACCCCCCAGACCCCCGGTAGTACCTCCAATGGCGCTGTACCGTAAACTGTAATGAGAGTGGTCAGGCCGACGGTTTTGGCGGTGAATGTAACACCGGGGGGGTCTGGGGGGTATTTCGTGAGATCATCTTACACTCATCCATGGTGTTTGAGAGTGGTCAAGCAAACGGTTTTCAGCGAGAATGTGATACCGGGAGGGGGGTCAGTAAAAAGTAAATTCAATTATTCTTTCCCTGCAATCATCATTATCATTCGGAGACTCATATAAATAAAGTCTTTATGTGCTGGGGAGTATTCCATAGATTCCAGGATCAGATGTATGTTTATTTAACAAATATGCTTATTTTTAGTACTCTGTCTGCTATTACAGGCTGGTCCTTTAGGTTTGGTCACCCTGTATATTTAACATATTGGCGAATCGATATGTTTTGCCTATATAGTTCATATACAGTCAAATATGGATGTTTTCAGTACTTGAATTCCCTAAATGTCTTGTGTAATGTAACCTGGCAATAATGCAAAAGCACATGCGTCCGTTGATACGAAAAACTTGGTAACGGTATACCACAGAGCGTTAAAGCGTGTTAAATATTATGGTATGGGTTCGTAACTGAGATCATAAGTTTGTAGAGGTGTAAAAAGGAAATCTGTACTTATAATTATAACCTGGTTAGTGAATTTTAGCTTGGATTTAAACCGTTGCCAATTTGTAACATGTAATGAGCTATCTGGAGTATATTATTTTACATCTGTGGTTTCTACAAAAACGTGATCCGAATTTTCTTGCAGGGTCCGCCTCACCTCAGGCCGTCAGAAAACTGCTCGCGCTCTCCGAACAGAACAAGACGCGTCCGCATCAGCCGCGTCAGCCTCCGCTACCGCCCGGCTTCAACGCGCCCCAACCGAGCCCGGCGGTGCGGCGGGCGCCCAGCTCAACAGGTGAAACCTACCGCTTTGCCGAGCCGTCCGACTAAAACATGCCACTTTCAGGGAGTTACTCCAGCTACGGAAGCTCGAGTAGCTGCGGTGCGGGAGGGCGTGCGATGCACGAACGTTCGCATTCCGACACTCCCACTCCCCTGCCGTCGGTGGCGCTGTCCGCCGAGAGCAGCAGCGTTACGTCGCTCAGCAACCTGCCCCTACGAAAGACGCTAACCTCAGGTTTGTACGCGTTTGTTCTTCTTGCACACTGCACACTACAGATTTTGGTTGTACATACCGATTTGGCACACTCTGTGCATGTTTTTTTTTGTACAAAACATGAAAAGTACCACCGAACTCAATCTTGAGCATGTTTGTGAATGCATGTTATTGGTACAGGCTCGGTGGCTTCTTCTGACTCGGGCCACAGCACGAATAGTTCCGCAGGTGACGGTCCCACGGGCCTACCGCACTCTTTCCAAACTCAACCGCGTTGTCCAAGCCCTTCCAGACACGCGCCTTCGATTCCAGGTATGTATTGGGTAGAGACGAAAGTCCCGTTCATTTGCATGTACTTATATAATGTGTTGGTATTGTTACTATGGTTGTGTTTGTTATGGTGGTAGGATGGTATCCCCGCGTTGGTGCTATTCCTCCCTACCCTCACGCTGTGGCCGTCTTGCCTCCTTTGCCCAATGCTTTACGTAATGGTAAGTTGGCCCTTTTGTCTGCTTGCTATCGCTGTATTTTTTGGCTTTTATTATTTTGCTTCACGAAAATCGTTTGGCGAAACACTCACGCATTATTTGCGTTCACGACGGGCGCACGCGGGCTTTGCATGATCACGTGACTAAATACGGTCGCCATTTCAATGAACACAATGCCGACTTATTTTGCCACAACACACTTGATCAACGCAAATCGTGTGTGAGTGATCAACACCAGATTCGAGAATAGTTCAGTGCATGCCAGCAGCTCATGAAATTGTAAGAGAAGTGTGAAATATAATGTGGAAAATCGTGCAGGTCCGGGTCGACGACAACCCCCCGCGTATAGTGTGGCAGCTCAAATGGCGCGGTTGCACCGACTGGGTCGCGCGCACTCCCACGAGGGTGTGACGCAGGGATTTCACTATCATACCGACCCAGATACCGACCACGGTAAGTAGGCGCAAATCCGTCGCTTCGTTTTCGCTTATCGCATTTCTCTTTTGTTTTTTTTTGTTTTGTTTGCGTGCAGGTGACGTGACTAACGAAGCGCGCGTGACAGATACGTGGACAGAGAACGACATTGACTTGATTGACTCGAATATTGTTATGGTTTGAGTCTGGACTGAAATGACAGGTAACCTCACAATATGTTCACCTAATGTGATTTAGGTAAGACAAGAATCAGAGTATTCGTACGCTTTCTTATGGTGCCCCCCCCCCCCCCCCCATACGGTTCGAATTTTGTTGATTTATGAGTAATGTCGTACAGTAAAATATTTCCGCCCGTCCGTCCATCCATCTGTCCATACCGTCAGCCACTCTCTCGCAGGAAAGTGGCATTGACTTGTAATTCCGTTTAAAATTCCATTTTTTTCATGTATAGGGTGAGGGGGAAAATACTTCCGCTTGTCCGTCCTTCCATCTGTCCATACCGTCAGTCACTCTGTCGCAAAAAAGTGGCATTGACTTGAAATTGAACTAAAAATTTCTTTTTTTGCAAGTGTATTGCAGGAAAAAATATTTCCGCCCGTCCGTCCTTCCATCTGTCCATACCATCAGCCACTCTCTCGCAGGAAAGTGGCCATGACTTGAAATTGAGCTAAAAACTCTCTTTTTTGCAAGTGTATTGCAGGAAAAAATATTTCCGCCCGTCCGTCCTTCCATCTGTCCATACCTTTAACCACTGTCTCGCAGGAATGTGGCGTTGACTTGTAATTCCGTTAAAAATTTCCTTTTTAGCGCATCCTTTCTTTGTGGTTTGTCTGTTCGGACTCACTTCTGTGATCTTGAACTTCTTTTCGGGGAATTGTCCTTTATTGCAATAAGTAGCCTATACCTTCAAGGTGAGCTGGACGGTAATCAAATTACGCTGTGTTAAAGGCCCCCCCTCCCTGAACCCGAGATGCTGTTTTTGAATGCAATACGTTCACCGTTTCAGGAGGGGGGGGGGTAAAAATTAATTTCATCTGTACTCTAATTAAAGGTCTCTACAAAAGGAGCCGATCATAGCCCTCTCCTCCTTGATCCATACATGGTGAGAGATGGCATTTGAGAAAGCAAATGTCGGGTTTTTTTAGTTCTACCTCTTTCGTACTATGCAAAATAACGAAAAACATGAACTGCCATTTTTGAGAAAGTACAGACTTTGACACTTACCAGACGCACTAACAATTTGACAATGTGAAATCGCAACTAATTCCCCTTTTTTTTCATTTTTTTAGATGAAGAGGAGACCCAAGTATCAGCAGTGTGAAAATTCAATTATTTGTAGGCGCATTTCGATGGTTATTGTTGCATATCTGTGTAATCCACTTTAATACTCAATCTCGATGTATACAACACACACACTGCGAGGGGTACAGCCGGACAGCGCCGCCTCTCTCCTCCTTATTTAACCAACGTACCTGATTTCACCACAACCTGCATTTTTGCTTTAGCGTTGCGGTATTCCCGTCGGCCGACCGATCCGTAGGTTTTATTATTGTAAATATTTAGCCCCTCCCCCTCTCCCCTCCACCATTATTTTAGTTAATCCGAATTACGGGTTTTTATCGATTTGCAATATAGTAATTGTAAAACGTTTTTATATTAAAAACCATTCCAGTCGTTAGGGTATTTATTTGCGAAAGCGCGCGTTGACGACGCAAACTTTTCCATTGTAAATGTTTCTATAGTAATCATTCCAAACGTGATTATAATTCTTCTCGAATGAACCGCCGTACTTGTATCTCTAACTTTTTAGTTGCAATGTATTAGGTTTTGTGATTCAACTAGTCGCTCGACGTCTATCGGAAGTTTAACGGCCCCTACGCCTTTTCGAGATTATTTTTATAATTCGTGCTAGTATTAGGGAGGTTAGATCGCGTTGAGTGGGGTTTTGAAAACGTATCTGCTCTTAAACTTCCGATATAGCGTTCTGATATTATCGATATTTGTAGGTATATTTGCTATGTGTAATAATATATTTTTCAAATAGGTGTTGATATCTGTATATTAGTGTACAAAATACTTTGATCTACTTAATAAAATGTCGATATTTATTTATTGGACAATTATTAAAGATGGCAGTTGCTGCCATTGTTTTTCTTACCTACAATGCGCCTTTAGTTTAGTCCTTGTGCTTAAATCCACTCGATAGACTTCACAGACATTCTGAGAGGTCCAAAGAGTAGAAGGTGATAAACTGGTAAGAATTCCTTTTGCTGTGTTAAGTGTCGCCATCTATCCGTTTTTCCAGATAATAGATAGCATTCGTTTGTTAAATAACGACAGACTCATTTTGGATAAATGAAACATCTTGTATTTTATAAAAGCTTTACTCAATAAAATAAAGATACATGGGCATTGGGTGGCACTATTTATGTACTTCTTGGTCAGCTTGTTTGTGACCAAAAGGAGATCACTGGTTTGAGTCAGAACAAAATAAATACCCCACCCCCCGCCCACATTTCATTGGATCACGAATAGGGGTGGAGCCCCGCTTGGGCACTTGACGCTTTAGTTCTTTTAAGTTCAATAGTGTCATAGGGCCTGATACCTGATGATTGCCAAGCGAGCCGAAGGCGAGTTCGGCACAACTCCGTGAAACCTTGCCTACTATTTTTGAAGGAAATGGAGCTCCTAAGGCATTTTCGTAGGCAAAGTTCGGCGAATTAGTGCCGAACTCGCCTATGGCTCGCTCGGCAATCGTAGATGCTTTAATTTAGGTTTAAAAACGTCAATTTCGTAGGCAAAGTTGGACGAAATTGTGCCAAAAAAATGATGCAGGTGTCTACGATTGCCGAGCGAGCCGAAGGCGAGTTCGCCACAACTCCATCAAACCTTGCCTACTATTTTTGAAGGAAGTGGAGCTCCTAAGGCATTTTGGTAGGCAAAGTTGGGCGAATTAGTGCCGAACTCGCCTACGGCTCGCTCGGCAATCGCAGATGCCTTAATTTAGGTTTAAAAACGTCAATTTCGTAGGCAAAGTTGGACGAAATTGTGCCAAAAAAATGATGCAGGTGTCTACGATTGCCGAGCGAGCCGAAGGCGAGTTCGCCACAACTCCATCAAACCTTGCCTACTATTTTTGAAGGAAGTGGAGCTCCTAAGGCATTTTGGTAGGCAAAGTTGGCAATCGCAGATGCCTTAATTTAGGTTTAAAAACGTCAAAGGGGGTTCATTTCGTAGGCAAAGTTGGACGAAATTGTGTCAAAAAAATAATGTAGGTGTGTATGATTGCCGAGCGAGCTGAAGGCGAGTTCGGCACAACTCCATGAAACCTTGCCTACTATTTTTGAAGGAAATGTAGCTCCTAAGGCATTTTCGTAGGCAACGTTGGGCGAATTAGTGCCGAACTCGCCTACGGTTCGCTCGGCAATCGTAGATGCTTTAATTTAGGTTTAAAAACGTCAAAGGGGGTTCATTTCGTAGGCAAAGTTGGACGAAATTGTGCCAAAAAAATGATGCAGGTGTCTACGATTGCCGAGCGAGCCGAAGGCGAGTTCGGCACAACTCCGTGAAACTTTGCCTACTATTTTTGAAGGAAATGGAGCTCCTAAGGCATTTTCGTAGGCAAAGTTGGGCGAATTAGTGTCGAACTCGCCTACGGCTCGCTCGGCAATCGCAGATGTCTTAATTTAGGTTTAAAAACGTCAAAGGGGGTTCATTTCGTAGGCAAAGTTTGACGAAATTGTGCCAAAAAAATGATGCAGGTGTCTACGATTGCCGAGCGAGCCGAAGGCGAGTTCGGCACAACTCCATGAAACCTTGCCTACTATTTTTGAAGGAAATAGAGCTCCTAAGGCATTTTCGTAGGCAAAGTTGGGCGAATTAGTGCCGAACTCGCCTACAGCTCGCTCGGCAATCGTAGATGCTTTAATTTAGCTTTAAAAACGTCAAAGGGGGTTCATTTCGTAGGCAAAGTTGGAGGAAATTGTGCCAAAAAAATGATGCAGGTGTCTACGATTGCCGAGCGAGCCGAAGGCGAGTTCGGCACAACTCCGTGAAACCTTGCCTACTATTTTTTAAGGAAATGTAGCTCATAAGGCATTTTCGTAGACAAAGTTCGGCGAATTAGTGCCGAACTCGCCTACAGCTCGCTCGGCAATCGTAGACACCTGCATCATTTTTTTGGAACAATTTGGTCCAACTTTGACTGCGAAATGAACCCCCTTTGACGTTTTTAAACCTAAATTAAGGCATCTACGATTGCCGAGCGAGCCGAAGGCGAGTTCGGCACAACTCCATCAAACCTTGCCTACTATTTTTGAAGGAAATGGAGCTCCTAAGGCATTTTCGTAGGCGAAGTTCGGCGAATTAGTGCCGAACTCGCCTACGGTTCGCTCGGCAATCGTAGATGCTTTAATTTAGCTTTAAAAACGTCAAAGGGGGTTCATTTCGTAGGCAAAGTTGGAGGAAATTGTGCCAAAAAAATGATGCAGGTGTCTACGATTGCCGAGCGAGCCGAAGGCGAGTTCGGCACAACTCCGTGAAACCTTGCCTACTATTTTTTAAGGAAATGTAGCTCATAAGGCATTTTCGTAGATAAAGTTCGGCGAATTAGTGCCGAGCGAGCCGTATGCCTCAATTTAGGTTTAAACACGTCAAAGTGGCTTCATTTCGTAGGCAAAGTTGGACGAAATTGTGCCAAAAAAAGTAATGTAGGTATCTACGATTGGCGAGAGAGCCGAAAGCGAGTTCGGCACAACTCCCTCAAACCTTGCCTCCTATTTTTTTTTAGAAAATGGAGGCATTTTCGTAGACAAAGTAGGCGGATCTGTGCTCAACTGGCCTATGGTTCGCTTGGCAATCGGAGATGAATTAATTTAGGTTTTAAAACGCCAAAGGTACTTTATTTCATAGACAAAGTTGTTGAAAATTGTGCGGAAGAAGTAATGTATGTACGAATCTGCTTCCCTCACTTTAGGAAGGCGCCAAAGAGAGATTTACTACCGCCCTAGAAGAACCTATACCGTCGACTTCAGGCGACAGACGAAAATTTGACTGTTAAACGTATCAATTACGTATTCCCGCGAAGGTTTCTGATGTGAAAAATGCAGGTGAGCTGAGGCGGCGCAGCCGCTGAAATCGAACTCATCTCACATCCCTTAGCGGAACCTTTTGGGTGAGGTGTTGCGCCGCTGATGCCGATGTCCTATCCGGGAGCGAGACGCTTGGGCGAATGCGCCGCCGAAACCATCCGTTGAGACTGATTGGGGGTACGGTTTTCGCCTGTTCTGCTAGTTGCAAATAAAATAGTAGACTAGGGTAGACTGATTCCGCCTTCGGCTCGCTCAGTAGTCGTAGATATTTTACTTTTGCACCACAACTTTGGTCACGAAATGAAGTCGCTTTGGCGTTTTCAAACTCAAACGGACGCTTCTTTTAGGAAATGAAACCTCTGACGCATTTTAAAACTAAAAGGGAGTCCATCCATATCAAAGCTACTGAAGCACAATTTGTGCCTACTTAAGAAAAAGGTGAAAATTAATTAAAATAGCTTGCGGAACTATCGTTATGCCATCCATATCAAGGGGTTTGTGCTTCATGCATTTAAGCTTTTATAATGGTGGAATAAAACCAATTGCTCTGTAATTCGCCATTTGAATTATTTGGTAACGGAACACCAGCCCCGGCACTAACGTCGAAATCGTGAACTGTTGCCCATATATGGTTCCTTCTCACCCCATACGGACGATCAGAGTAGGTGTGGGCTACGCTTTTCTCTGACCGTATCTTTCGAGGAGATACCGTGCCAAATTATAGGGATTGAAGGCGGACGTTTTTTTAACTAGCGATTTGTAGGGTTGAATCGTGGAAAAAAAATTTCGTGTCTAAGAGCGTTCTTTTTGATCGAATCGTAGGAATCCATTGTTCCTGTAATGAGGGGAAGGAATTTGCTCAGCGTACCTGGCGCAAAGCAGCTATTTCCGTAATTATATCAATCACCCACATGCCGTCTTACTTTTGGAAATAGCACGAGTCAATAAATGACAGAAATAGGCATCGAATACAAACAAACAAATGAAAGGTATTGAAAATTAGCAAAGCGCTAAGGGAGAAGTTAAAATTAGGAACAGACACCTCGCCCGACGAAAATAGAGCGCCATCATTCAATTTTTCAAATCGAACCAACCCCGTATCCGAAAATAGCGGAAAAACGCGCCATTACCTCATATGTGCAGGTCTCACACAATTCTTACACTAAGAATGGAATAATTAATTATAGAACGCACCACCCGCATTTCTTAAAGAAAAAAAAAACTGAAAATGCCCTGACGAGTGGCGATACTCGACTGAAAACTTTCACGCGGACCATCGGGCCGATGCCAAAAATTCTTATTCATAACTTGGCAGCGATCTTCGAAACAATTTCACTGAGTGTACGATTTTTTTTTTAATTTAGATTCAAGGTGCGGAATTGGCCAAATTCGTAACGGTCTCATGTTTACTTATTTTTAATAGGAAGTCGCCGAATTTCCCTTTCTCATAATCATGATGTTACGTAAACCGAATTCCCAAACTGGGGGTGTCGTCGGAGGGTTGCGATATCTTGTCGTATTTAATTTCTTAATGACGCTGAAGGCGTTTAGGGATGAGATCGCGGTGTCCATTTCACAATAATTAGGGTCGAAATAATCGGGATGGTTTCCTAATTGGTGTAATTACGAAAGTACAATTATGGAAGGCCCGCTCGCGCCTTGTCGCGTGAATTCCGTCGCGGCGCGCCTCCTACAGTCTGAACGTGCCTGCCTTATTTGGGCGACGCGGTGCGTCTGCGTCGCTTCCCCTAGCACTCCATACATGGATGCTACGTACTATTTCTAGACGCCACTGCGTAGCCTATATAATATCGGACTCACTTGAATAGGACCACTCGCAGCCTACAAGCTTAGCAGCTGAGTCCTTTCTGTCAGACTAGGTTCGTGAAAAGTGTGAAAAGTGCGTTTCTTTTTCTTCAATTTGTGGAAGTGCATCCGAGTGAAATTTAAAGTGAAATTGTGAAATTCGAGGATGCACCGCGTCGTTAGTTTTTTGGCCCGATCAAGGACGAAAAACTAGCGCAATTTAATTAGCATTACCGCAAATTGAACAAATCGATGCGCTTAAATGGATTATCGTTTGGCTTCCGTGTAATTTTCTTTTTTGTTTCCAGTAGTAATCAACCAGAGTAGCAAACATGTGTGACGATGATGTTGCGGCGTTGGTCGTTGACAACGGCTCCGGCATGTGCAAGGCCGGTTTCGCCGGAGATGACGCGCCCCGTGCCGTCTTCCCATCCATCGTAGGTCGCCCCAGGCATCAAGGTGTCATGGTCGGTATGGGACAGAAGGACTCGTACGTCGGTGATGAGGCCCAAAGCAAGAGAGGTATCCTCACCCTAAAATACCCAATTGAGCACGGCATCATTACAAACTGGGATGATATGGAAAAGATCTGGCACCACACTTTCTACAATGAGCTGCGTGTCGCACCAGAAGAACACCCCATCCTTCTCACCGAAGCTCCACTCAACCCCAAGGCTAACCGTGAAAAGATGACCCAAATCATGTTTGAAACCTTCAACACCCCAGCCATGTACGTCGCCATCCAGGCCGTACTCTCCCTGTACGCCTCCGGTCGTACCACCGGTATCGTGCTGGACTCCGGTGACGGTGTCTCTCACACAGTACCCATCTATGAAGGTTACGCCTTACCCCATGCCATCCTCCGTTTGGACTTGGCCGGCCGTGACTTGACCGACTACCTCATGAAAATCCTCACCGAACGTGGCTACTCATTCACGACCACCGCTGAAAGGGAAATCGTCCGTGACATCAAGGAAAAACTCTGCTATGTCGCTCTGGACTTCGAACAAGAAATGGCAACCGCCGCCGCATCCACTTCCCTCGAAAAGAGCTACGAATTGCCCGACGGACAGGTCATCACCATCGGCAATGAGAGATTCCGTTGCCCAGAAGCCCTCTTCCAACCTTCCTTCTTGGGTATGGAATCTTGCGGCATCCACGAAACCGTCTACAACTCCATCATGAAGTGCGACGTTGACATCCGTAAGGACTTGTACGCCAACACCGTACTCTCAGGAGGCACCACCATGTACCCAGGTACGTAAACCCCCAACCCCGCGACTCGCCCGTCTCACACTCTCTCACCCCGAACAGGTATCGCCGATCGCATGCAAAAGGAAATCACCGCCCTCGCGCCATCGACCATCAAAATCAAGATCATCGCTCCCCCAGAAAGGAAATACTCCGTATGGATCGGCGGCTCGATCTTGGCCTCCCTCTCCACCTTCCAACAGATGTGGATCTCCAAACAGGAATACGACGAATCCGGCCCTGGAATCGTCCACCGCAAATGCTTCTAAGCGCGCGTTTTATCTACACATTACTATTATTGTATTATAATTATTACATCTTATACAACTTTATTATATTTGCGACTATGGTTGCACTGCCAGATAGACTATTTTTACGAGAAGACCTTGCGACTACTACACTTCATTATTTATAATTATTGATTAATTATAATAATTACTATTAACATAACAAATAAAAAACATCAGTTATTAATAAAAATATACTTTTTGTTACTGTTAACATCCTCTTTCTTTTTTTTCCGCGCGACTTCGAGCCATTGCCGTATTTGGTCACAAAAGCGGGACGCAAAGTTTAAAAATAACCGCGCGCTGGATTTAGCCGGGAAGAACGTCTGCCAGATTGCGGATATAAATAGACGAATATTAAAAACGCCAGATGTGAATCTCCTATTTAGCGATGGTCCTATTACATTTCGAAACTTGTACCTACTTTCAAAAAAGTTTTTCACATTCAAAAATAGAGAAACTTTTGGATACCTCCGACACTTGAAACTTCCGCCATTGTTCGCATCTTGCCCCATGCTTCGATGAAAGTGGGGAGGTAGAATCGGCCCACTTCCGCTCTGGTGACCGAAAAGTCAATTTGGTTCTTGATGAGATCGTATGGGAAGGATCGAGCCGAACCGAACCTTAGATGGACGAACGAAATTGATCAGCAACAGCCGTTTCCTGATAAATTCTGACATGTGGCTTTCGATACAGTCGAAATTTCGGAATGTAGAATCCAGAATTTGAAGAAATGTTTTTGATAAATTCTGGCTAGTGGACTCCCATACAGTCAGAATTTACAAGTTTGGGGCTTCATAACAATACGTGCTGAATCAAAGGCTGTAGTCTTGCTTCCAAAGTTGAACCAAAGAATATCTGCTGCAAGTTCAACAGAAAAAAAAACATTTTCTGCTCGATTCTGACCTGTAGACCCCCATAGTCAGAATTTTCGAGTTTGGGGTGTCATAAGAATAGGCACAGACGAAAATACAATTTTAAAAGAATCCACGGCTTACCTTCTAAAATCGAGCAAAAAAGAGAAATTTTCTGAACCATTCTGATCTGTAAATTGATTTGCAAGTTTGGGGCGTCATAAAAACACATAAGATAAATCGATTTTCAAAGAATCCAAGGCCGTAGTCCTGTTGGAGTGGAGCGAAAAAAATCTGCTAGAAGTTCATCAGAAAATGTGAACTTCTAGCAGATTTTTTCGCTCCACTTCAGAAACAGGGCCTATAGACTCTCATACAATCAGTATTTTAAAATTTGGGGAGTCATAAAAATTGGCATAGACCAAAGATCGATTTTAAAAGAACCTAAAGTCAAAAAATAGGCACAGACGAAAAACTGATTTTAAAATAATCAATGGTCATAAAATAGGCACAGTCGCAAAATCGATTTTAAAAGAATCAAAGGTCCTACAAATACACACAGACCAAAAATTGATTTTATAAGAATCAAAGGTCATAAAATAGGCACAGGCGCAAAATCAATTTTCAAAGAATCAAAGGTCCTACAAATGACGTACAGACGGAAAATTGATTTTAAATGAATCAAATGTCATAGAAATAGACACAGAAGAAACATTGACTTTAAAAGAATCAATGTTCATAAAATATAGGCACATACGCAAAATCAATTTTAAAAGAATCAAAGGTCCTACAAATACACACAGACGAAAAATTGATTTTATAAAAATCAAAGGTCATGAAATAGGCACAGTCGCAAAATCGATTTTAAAAGAATCAAAGGTCCTACAAATACACACAGACCAAAAATTGATTTTGCAAGAATCAAAGGTCATAAAATAGGCACAGGCGCAAAATCGATTTTAAAAGAATCAAAGGTCCTACAAATACACACAGACGAAAAATTGATTTTATAAAAATCAAAGGTCATAAAATAGGCACAGTCGCAAAATCAATTTTAAAAGAATCAAAGGTCCTACAAATACACACAGACCAAAAATTGATTTTATAAGAATCAAAGGTCATAAAATAGGCACAGGCGCAAAATCGATTTTATAAGAATCAAAGGTCATAAAATAGGCACAGGCGCAAAATCGATTTTATAAGAATCAAAGGTCCTACAAATACACACAGACGAAAAACTGATTTTATAAGAATCAAAGGTCATAAAATAGGCACAGGCGCAAAATCGAGAATCGTCCCGTCTCCTCTTCCGACAGCGTTCCCTCCAAGTCTTCATAGACAAAAGCCATTCTGAAGCCTGTAGCTACTTCGCCAAAGGTTCTTGTATCCTTTGCGGTCCCAGTTTTTGCCCTTTTCGAGCTACTTCCCTTGGGAGTACTACTGTCAGACCGGTGTTGCTTTCGCCTTGGCGTTTTCTGGTTGCTCCACTTCAGCATATGGCAGGTCAGGTTGCGTAAATCCCCCTGATGGTTTCTGCCTCTTTTTAGCTCCCGGAGCCGAAGAGTTTTTTAGGCTCTCCAGTACCAGGTGCTCCGGGAGTAGTTGATTGTTTTTGTATTTCCTGGTCCATATAAGTCCCACCCACAAGTAAGGGGGACAGAAACGTCCAGACGCGCGATGCCCCCTGGACGCGACGCTCATTCGCTTAGCCCATTCCTCTATCCGCCACCTGGAGACGCGCTTCTAAAGTTGAAAAAACCGCTGCAAGTTCAACAGAGAAAAACACATTCCGATCAATTCTGGCCTGTAACCAGACAGTCAACGCCAAAGAGGTATAGTTTGAGAATTTAAGCCGAAGAAAAGTATTGGCTTTAAGATTGACCCCAACAAAAATTGTGGCAAGCTCTCCGCGAAAAGGTACTTTCTAATAGATTTCGGACCGAAAATAGGCGGAATTTTTAAGTTTGGGGCGCCAAAAAAAGATTCATAGATAGCAAATTTGTCAGTCTACTGGCTACTGTTAAATTGAATTTCGCGCTTAAAACCAGGATACGCAAAGGATTTGATTAATGATTATACACACTATAATCGATGGAAAAGGGTATTTTTCTTCTTTTCCTATAGAAATCGAGCGTAATTTTGTAATATCTGGCAACGTGGGCGGAAACGTTGTACATTGTAAATTTGAAAAAGGGCGCCCATACGATTTTCAAACGTGCCACTAGAGGGCGCCGATTACGTATCGCCCGTGACGTATTTCCGGCATCTTCACCAAATCACCACAGTCGTTCAGTTTGTAGCGTTCCTTTGCTGTATTTTGTGTATTCAATGTCGTATTTTCCAAGAATTCGCATAAAAAATGGCTAGTGTTAAAGAAATAATGCGATTATGTAGACTGTGTTTAGTGAAGGATGAGGTGAATACACCCATTTTCGATGAGCAAGGTGATATTAGGCAAATATTCTTGAAAATCTCGGCCTGTCTACCGGTCAAGGTGAGTAGCGTCCGTCCGCCATGTTGGCTGTTGTTGTATTTTAATTGATAACGCGCCCATTTCGTCATTTTTGTCGGTGAGTACGGCACTTTTGCTTTGAGGGGGTTTGTGGGGGCCAAGTCGCTTCGAGGCATTTGTCAAAAAATTCCCCATTCGCGTTAGCCCGTCATTTACAATGCGTCCATCGCAAAAATCAATATACAGTGTGTCCCCTTCGTTGACCTTCGCCATTTTCTGTGCGCAGGTTTCCCGAGAGGACAATTTACCAAAAAACATATGCGACGGCTGCTCGAGCAAGCTGGAGTTGCTCTACCAGTTCTGGAACACCTCCGCGAACTCCGAGAAGAAGCTAATCCAATGGCTCGGCGCGGAGAGGTCCGAACGAAACGCACAACATTCCATGATCGATCCCGTCGTACTGAAGCAGGAGGTCGTCGAGGTGCCCGACGAACGCACCAGCCCCGATCATCTCGACGACCTGAACGTCTCCAACGACACCGACTATCTGCAGCAGCAGTTGCCCTACGAGAATGTCGAGTTCCAGTTCCAGCAGGACGACTACGACGACACGGTGCGTTCTTACCTGATATAGTTATGTCCAAATATATTTGTACAGGGTGTCCCAGATTGTATGGGGATTTTTTTACCACAAAAAAAGTTTGATATGAATGATTTCGTAATGAAATTCAAGAATGGCATTTCATTTATTACATGGGAGCCATATTGAATTTTTATATGGCTATTGGCAACATTAATTTTTGTTTACATTTTGATGAAGTTAATTAAATAATTAGTTTATTGTTTAAACACAATATTGTTTAGTTAAAAAGTACATTTCGATCGTCCGGAACAAAGTGGGGGGGGGGGGGATTACTTACCAATAGAACAATGGCAAAAAATGTTTGTTACAATGAATTTTGTGCTTTTTTGAACCATATGAATGTAGACCAGCATCAGGGTGTGCTGTGACCGACATTCTTGATGGGTAGGGACGCAATGACAGGTGTCACGGGTGGGGAGGTACTCTGTCTTCCCATTATACGAAGATGATACTAGAACGGAAAGGAACATTCCCCATACTTCCCAGGATTTGCGTTTTATGAAAAACTATTAGGAGGGGTCTTTGGGCTTGTGGGATATGACCCCAGCAGTTTTATACTTGTAGGGAAATGCATGTTAGGTCTTTTGCTACAACCATCGATAAAGGGACCTTTGTGTGCTGGGGGGGGGGGATGGAATACCTCGCAGACCACCCGGTTCTATATTATTCTCCAAAATGTGTGTTGCCTTTAGCACACTGGAAAGATCCCTTAGGACTGAATGGTTTAAGGGGGAAGGGAAAATTGGAGGGGCTGGGGGGGGTATCATATTTCACCAGCATACATAGGTCTTATGATAATTATAGGGAAATGGCCGTGAAGTCTTTTGCTACAACCATTGTATGCTGGGGGGGGGGGATTTCATGCCCTCCAGACCCCTGGTTCTATATCTTCCCCAAAGTCAAGTGTGTAGTGCTTTTAGCACTTCAACCATACTTTTTGGAAAGATTTCTAGGACTGAATGTTTTGAGGGGGACAGAAAAACGGGGGGGTTATAGAGTCCTCCCCAGTATACAAAGGTCTTATGATACTTAAAGCAAAATGCACATTAAGACTTTTCCTCCAATTATCGTAGGATCTTTGTATGCTGGGGGGGGGGGGGGGCTCTTAATGACTTGGCCTGGATTTCCCTAAGGTCTTAAGACTTTTGCATACTGGGGGGGGGATTCCAAGCCCCCCACCCACCCCGCGATTCCATATTCTTCCCCAAAGTGTGTAGTGCCTTTAGCACTTCAACTATAATTTGTGCAAAGATTCATAGAACTTAATGTTTTGGGGGGATGGTAAAACCTGGGGAGGGGGTATCAATACCCCCCCCCCCCGCATCTACAAAGATCTTATGATACTTATAGAGAATGCACATTAAGTCTTTCCTCAACCATCGATAAGATCTCTGTATGATTGGGGGGGGGGGGGGGGTCAGGACCCCCCCCCCCGTCTTTCCCAAAAAGTTTTGTACTTTTAACGTAGATCCTGTGGGAAATGGAGTACTTGGTAGGAAAAGTGGATTATTTAATCAAATCTCCATCTTCTCACTTGATCTGGGACTACCCGTATAAATCATGGACCAGGGGTACCAAAAAAATGTTAACCCTGCGCTGTTTTAAATAAATAACACGCATTGTTTTTTTACATTCCCTGTGCATTAACTACACCTAGACTAATCCGTCGCATTTGCAGGGCACGGACGCCGTAGTCGAGTCGCCACCGGTGTCGCGTAAAAGACGGGCAGCGGCGATACGCGCCATGGCCAAAATAGGATCCGAGGATGAGGCAAATTCCGAGGATGAGGGAAACCCCGACCTGCTGGAGCCCAAACTTGCTAAGGTTGGTCGCGGCAAAATCGTCCGGCTCGTTTATAATTTCTTTTCGTAGATCGAAGAGGAAAGCGAGGAGAGCGGCGGTGAGGATCCGGAACCAACGGCGTTTGTTGGTCTACCTTCGGCGAACGATAACGATCAGCCCGGCCCGTCGGGTGTTGGCAAATCGTCGGTTGATTCACCGTGAGTACTTTTTTTTACAATTTCTTTTTTATTTTACTCACTGAATGTGTGTCGAATATGCAGATTGTTCACGCTTCTTAGTTCTTGCTTATTTTGTGATTGTGGGATTTGTAGATATGTGAAGGTAAGTCGAATTGATTTGTTTACAAAGCGTTCACAGTCTGAAAAAGTTTGCGTGGGAATTCACACATTCAGTAAATGTCGTGAACAAAGGGGGACTGTTGCCACTGTGTTGCACAGCAATCGGTCTGCTGTATCTCTGCCTTTGGTCACCTTGTATATTTTGTATTGTTTTGCATTTGTTCTTTACAAATTGTGTTACTTAGTTTTGTGATTAATTTCAAGTGTGTGTCTTGCTTCATTTGTGGAGAGGAGTAGTTACTCCCCTCCACTCAAAATATTTGACAACTGACAGTTGTCGAGTTGTCTCAATTTTTCTCCACTCAACACATAAACAGCTTGACATTTGTGAAGCTGTTTCACATTTCCTTTTACCCATCGTTTCTGCATTTGCCAATTGTCAAATGTTGGATAAATTTTTGTTCCATTTGACATCTGCAAGTTTGTGAGATGTCCGGAACTTTTTTTTTATTTGCGCCAATTTCGTTTCACTTTGTATCTGGCAATTGCTTAGATACTATCGAAACAGTATAGCACAATGTGAACATTTATTTTTTGTGACGTACATGTTTTATTACAAACGACCAATTGCATTAATTTATTTTCGATGGCCATCGATTATCTTAGGGGATAATTTGCAATAAAAAAATTACTCAGTTACCGTTATTTTGAATCGCGACAGTAAGTGAACATTTTACAATTCAATTTTTTAATTGAATCTGCACAGAGAAGAAAACAGCTTGTTCTCTTCTAATGGAAAAACTTGTTCTCAAATGCTGCTTGGTATTTGGAAACACTAAAACAAACTTTAAAAAGAATCGGAGCAGAGAAGAAAAATTGACATCCGTCTGTGTGGCTCAGTGGTAGAACGTTTTGGGCTGCATAGTCGGGAGGTCGAGTGTTCGAACCTGGGTTGAGGTGAATTTTTCATCTGTGACAGAGATGGAAATTTCCTTAGATCAGTTTCGAGCATTCTGCCGGCTACTCCGAATTAGGTTTTCCTAATTCTTAAGGTAAATACCGGAGTAGTATAGAACAACTTAAGACCTTCTGCAGGGGCACCTCTAAAAAACCTCTGTTTTTTTTTTTGTGGAAATATATATTATTATTATTATTATTATGATCGGTGTTTCTTGTGAGAACTCAGGTCTAGCCTGGTTAACTAATCGCACGGATTAAAATCAAGTAACGATTAGTGTCTGTGTCTGGTGAAGTTATGTAGGGTCCTTTAAAAAAAAACAAAACAAAAAAACACGTACATTAGACATCTAGGGATAGTATGTATTATTATTATTATAGGCGGGTCACTCTGTAATTGGGCGAAAGTCTATTAAGGGCACAGCACAAGCGAGGGACAATAAATAAATGCTGGTACCACTTATAGTGGAAAAAATGTTGCCCTCTTAGTTATGCACATACCGTTTGGTATTTGTATATGATATCGAATGACCTTTGAATTCCTCTATGGTTAGTATTCCCAACTGAGAGCTACATTTGAATTTTGTCTGTACAATAAAGTCTGTCAATAAAGAATGCATTTCTTCACCAATGAGCAATTGTGTTGTTGTGAAATGTTTGTGTATAGGTAGTACCGTTCCATCCAGTGAGATCCACCACCACTCAACCAGGAGAAGGCGAAGAGTTAAATTGCGCTTTAAAATTTGTTGTTAAATCACCTCGCTGGAATGCGCGTCATTACGGCTGAAGAGTCGCGTCGTCCCTGGAGACGCGAGCTGTAATGTCGCAAATTTAAAACGGAATGTAATAATAAAGCTTTAATAAACGAATGTATTTAGCGTCTTGTTTTCTTCAGATTAAAAAGGTTGATTTGAGTTTATTTTTCTTGCAGTCAACCGTTTTACCTGAAAACCATTTTAACTAGTTTGTCACGTCTCCGCGTCACAAACTGGTCAATCCCCACGCAGAAATTCCAAAATTGTTGCTAAGAATTTTCAAAATTTTTTCACTTATAATTGCACAAGAGGTTTGTATTTTACCGAGTAAATTTGGGTTGTTTAGGTAATGAAAATCTGTTACCTAGTAATTAGACGAGAAAAACTGTCAACTAATAAAAATGCGACACCGCGGGTGGAGCATTTTTAGGTTGACAGTTTTTCGAGTCCAATTGCTAAAAGGAAACAGATATGGGAAAGGATAATGCGATTATTGGTTCGAAAATGAATAAGTGAAAAAACCACTAGTGCATTTGTCGCTGGAAAAGTTGCAGGTAACTTTTGCCGCTGTCAAAGTGACAATTGCACTGCGGCTTATGCGATTTTTTATACATGAGTTGAATTGTCACGTTATAATTGCACAAGAGGTTTGTATTTTACCGAGTAAATTTGGGTTGTTTAGGTAATGAAAATCTGTTGCCTAGCAATTAAACGAGAAAAACTGTCAACTAATAAAAATGCGACACCGCAGGTGGAGCATTTTTAGGTTGACAGTTTTTCGAGTTCAATTGCTAAAAGGCAACAGATTTGAATTGCAACAACACAAATTTACTCGGTTTAAATACAACCCTCGAGTGTAATTCGGCAGGACAATTTAACGAACAAGAAATTCACCAAACTAATCAATTATTGACAGACGTCAAACTAGTCATATGGGAAAGGATAATGCGATAACTGGTTCGAAAATGAATAGTGAAAAAACCACTAGTGCATTGGTCGCTGGGAAAGATGCAGGTAACTTTTGCCGCTGTCAAAGTGACAATTGCACTGCGGCTTATGCGATTTTTTATACATGAGTTGAATTGTCATTACAAATTCAGTCATTCTCATTGATAATAAGTTACCTACTTTAAAACAGCACCAAATGTCATAAGGACATAGTTGCAAAATACAAATATAGAGTCCAATAACACTTCAGATGCTTAATTAAAAACAAATTTCCCGAAAAATAAATCATTGGCTTTTTAACATAGCAGCCGATTATGGTTTTGGGAAAATACTACCCCGCCCCTCATGGATATATACAGAGGGTCGTAATTAAATCTGCATTACTAACTCTTATTAAAACTCCAAATTTAATTACTTAATATGAAGCAAAGTGCTCAAATCAGAATTGACTATTGCAATAGGGCCAGTCTCAGTTGAAAACTGTTCAGAGTGGTTTAAATTCGTGGCTTGCCATTGAGATCTCCATAACGGTGAGAGATAATACAGGATGTTTTTTTGGGAGCTTTAGTTAAACGTTTCTGGGAAAGTAAAATACGTAAGTTTTTGAAAATGTGTACTTAGGAGTTACTCTGAAGACCGAATCTATGTAAAATATTTTCAAAATGTCCGCACTTCCGGAAACACCGGAAGTAGATAGTAATTCCGTTATTTTAAATGGCAACCCCTATTTTTTACTGCATTTTTGGATTTTACGTGAAATTTCAGTTCTTTTGATATCCATATGTCGATATCTGCCATTTATGGTTTTTAAGTTATTTTGACTTTAAGAAAAAAAATGGCGGATGCAGATGGTACCTTGATAATTGATTACTTGAAAAAGGTTAGAGTCATGGCAATCCATTTGTATCAGTGCATAGAGAATGAATAGGGCTTTCTTTTAGTGTACTTAAAAAAAGTTAAGTTGCGTACAACCGCACCTATGGAGATCCAAATTTAAGAAACTTCAAAGTCTATAAACTCGGTTTTTTTAAATGGAATGGCCATGTTCTTAATATTGCATGAGATAGAGAATCGAAATTGGCATATTTTGATATTACATGTTCCTATAGCTATCTTTAACAGTTTCTGATTTATTCCCATTTCATTGAATTGATCTCGGAATTCATGCCATTTTTTTTCACATTTTCTTTTTAGTAGACGGAAAATTTTTGAAAAATCTAAACAGAGTCGTTCAACTGAATTTCTTAAACAACGTATAAGTCTGGAAATTAAGAGAGGTAATGCAATATCTGTTCTAGCAACAATTCCATACCAAAAATGTTTCAACAAAGTTTTTTATATTTTGCATTGAATTTATTTTGTTAATTTTGCATTTGCAATTAATTCATTTTCTTTGTATCACTTGTGCTTCAACGGTTTGTAGTGCATTTGGGGGTTACAACATTTCCAAAATTTATACAATTTCGTTCCAGTGTTCGAATGAATGTACGGCATGCACGTGCCGCGATTCTGCCCATTTCTCCATAAATAACAATTAAATTCCAAAATAGGTGAAACCACTGCGAGTCATTTTTGGATTTTTGAAAAACTTATGTTGAGGTATAACAGTGGGTGATGGATTAGTGTCACTAGATTTGTTTAAAATTCAATTGTTATAGAATCATGGCCGACTACTAAAAAGAAAATCCGAAAAAAATAGTGTCAATTCAATAAAATGGGAATAAGTCAGAAACTGTTAAAGATAGCTATAGGAACATGTATTGTCAATTTAAAAAAAATTAGTTTTTAGTCATCGACATATTGGTATCAAAAGAAGTGAAATTACACGTAGAATCCAAAAATGCAATAAAAAATAGGGGTTGCCATTTACAATAACGAAGTTACTATCTACTTCCGGTGTTTCCGGAAGTGCGGCCATTTTGAAAATATTTTACATCGATTCGGCCTTCAAAAAAGTAACTCCTAAGTACAAATTTTCAAAAACCTACTTATTTTACTTTCCCAGAAACTTTTAACTAAAGCTCCCAAAAAAACACCCTGTAGTGTAGGTTAAATGGGGATAAAGTTGCCCCTTTTTGGGACTAAAAAACCACTTGACATTTTGGAAAATAGCCGAGATATTACGAAAAACTGAAAATGTCAAATTTCGTTCTCGTTTTCCCTAGCTTTAAAAGGTCGGAAATGGACGGTTCCCGTTAGCACCTTCTATGGACACTTTTTCGGAGAATCTGAATCTATCAGCATTTCCATAACATAGTA